CTCCCGGGCTGCAAGGAGCCGCCTGCGTCCCGTTGCAGTTCCGAGGAGTCGTACGTGAAACCTCGGCACCGTGAAACATGGTTTGAAGTGCACCTCGGTTAACGGGCTCGGAGATGGAAGGGCACGGGCGGCGCCGGTCGCTCTGACAGCCGTGACATTTCGAGGCAGGGTGGGAGCAGGCGCCGAGAGAAGGCAGCTCAACGCGGCTGAGACGCCAGCGAAATCCTGAAGCCAAATTAGGTGGTTTTAATGCTTTGTCTCTTGCAAACAGCTATTTATTCACGTTTTTAATAATCTAAAAAATTAGATCCTGCTCCTAATTTTCTATCCCTGAGCTTACAGTAAAGAACTCGATGTCATCTGAGCAGGACCTCTGATGAAACATTAGCCAGGCAATAGATACAGGATTACTTTCTGCAGAAACAAGCATCACCACGCTACAGTGTAATGAAGCTGTTACTTGCAACCATTTCAGGATGTTGTCACAGCAAAATACATTTTTTAACTTGATTTTTAACCGCACAGATTAATTTTTGGAGTTTAAAAATACAATGAGATGTATTTTGAAATGCCTGCTATTCATTTTGTGGGCTTTGGAGTATGAAAAAAAAATGGGAAACATGCCTGACTGCTGCAGAGAGGCCTTGGAGATGATTCCTTGAAACCACTAGGATGCCTGGCTGTTTTAAAAAGACTTTATTTGCCTTGGCTTCTCTAATAAGTTTTGTGTCTTTTGTCTTGATTGTTGTTGCAATGGGAACCCCAAAGTGGATGACTGGAAAGATCCTTTGCAAAACAGGAGCTGATTTGGTCAATGCCACAGATCCAGAGCTGGTCAAGTTCATTGGAGAAATTTACTACGGACTCTTCCGGGGCGGCAAAATCCGCCAGTGCGGGTTGGGCGGGCGGCGTTCCAAATTCACAGGTAAGTACAATTTTTTGGTTGAATCTTTAGTCTAATGCCTGGTTCAACTTTAAAAGCACTCTATTCTCTTTGTTTACAGAACTTATAGAAGGCAAATCATTATTATTAAATTTATATTTGTGGCTGACTTGTGGTCTTTATGGTTTGAGATCTGAGTGTGAATGTAAAACCTCTGTCATTTCAGGCTAGCTTTTTTCTTCCACTTATGTTGTTTCTTCCACTTATGTTCTGTAATCCTGGCATCAAGGGGAAAGAATCCCTAAGGCTAGATTGAGGGTTTCCTTTTAGTCTTGTGAAAGGAGTGAAAGTCACTTGGAGATGACCCTGTAAATCATAGTTTCCCCTTGACTGACTCTTTCCTATGCCAAGTGTTGCTCTGCAAATTTCTCTGTGCCTCTGTCCTTGCCTGCTCTGCTGAACTCCTTCCCCCTTTTTTTTCCTTTAAGAAGTAGAGATTTATTTAGCTGGCCACATTTCTGTACTTCTCTAGCTGTCCTAATGAAGATGTCTGCCACAGCAGATATTCCTAACTTTATTAACATGTTGAAGAAATTTTTACCTTCTTTTCTGGTAACTTTGGAGAGAAAAAACTTGCTGAACTCTTAAAACATAAAGAAACTCTTCCAAATTTATTTCTTTTAACTTAAAAGATTTTCTTGATGTCTCAAAAGCATTCAGATGTTGATCTGTACTTCAGATTATTTCCATTTTTCAAACATCCTGTGCTTTTGGGAAAATTATATTTTGCATTGAAGATTTTTAGTTCAGTCTGCAGATCTATTGCAGCTTCAACCAATATGAGTTGAAGCTGCCGCAGTCTCACCCTCTCCCTGGCCCACAGCGATGCCGTCCTGCCCCATCCTTTGCAATGGCTCTGGTAGTTGTTGTGGTGAGGTAGTTCAGGAAGTTAAGTTGGCCAAAAAATTAACTTATAAAAAAAAAAGGTTTCCCATAGGCTCATGGCTGACCACAACTGCACAAGCACCACTATAAAAACTGTAAGGCAGGCAGGACTGTGGGACTTCAGGGGGAATGGAGAAGAGAACCAGAGCAACCTCACCTTAGATCAGCATGGCCAGTTGTTAAGCTGTGATTAATTTGGCCTAGTCGCTTTTACAATAACCAAATCTTGCTCAAGCTCTCATTGCAGCTGCAACTTCATGACATGGCCACAGCCGTCATGCTCAAATGCTTTGTCTAGGGAGTTCGAACATCTGGCAGAGGGGCCATCAGGTCAAAGCTCTTCCAGCTCTGTTCTGCTTCTCTTCAGGGCATTCACAAATAGAGACCCTGTTCTTTCACCCTGTCCTGTCAGAGAGAATGAGGGAAAAAAGTAGCCAATCCCCTTTACAACTGTAATATCTGTAAAATCTCTGTACAACTTTCTGGACTTTCAATAAACTTTCTGATTAATTACTGTGTAACCTGAGAAGGTGGCCTCATGTTCCACCACCCCCCTGGACTGCATTGATACGTATTTGGAGGACATGATCCTATACTCCTTAGACAAACAAAGCTCTCACTGAAGCTAGTAAGAATTCTCCCTGTTAGAACTCTAAAATTGGGTCATTAAAGCGCAGTGGGAACAATATGCTTTTAGGTGAATAAGTGTGCTGGAGATTTTCCCTTTTAAGTAGTTAAATAGCTCTATCACGTTTGAAACTTTCACAATACTGGTTTCAAAATGGTATCATGAGAGTCTACAAAGCTGTTAAACACTTTTGCACAATGGCCTGCAGGACTTCTGGGGATTCTGGGTCTGACTTGACTTTTTTTGTTTGTTTGTTTTGAATGCTGCCCTTAATCTCCCAGCATTCTGAACTAAAGTGGGGAGCAAGACATGGCAGACTTTTCTTGGGGAATGTGTTAACATAAATGGACTGCGCAGGCAGCACAGAGCAAGACAGAAAGCTAGGACCTCGTATGCTGCAGTACTGCAGTAGTTCTGACACTTTGGAATTCCGAATCACATTAATATACGGTTATTAGCACATCACCTTTCACTGCACTAACATTCACTAGAGTAGGCTTGCAGCTAGCACACTCTTTTTTAACTGGGACAATGACAGCATAATTCAATTTCTGTAATAGCTGTCCAGTGCCATTTTAGACTCCTCAAGGCTCAAGGTGTATCATGTGGCCTCCAGTTGCTGGTTCTGACATTTCCAACTCCTCTTGTTTATTTCCCATGTTAGACCCCTGTGGTTGCTATGATAGTCCTAAGGCATCTAAATTGGCGTAAAATGCTTATGTTTTGACAACTGCATCAAGCCCTGAGAACAAGCTGGGGAAGCCAGGCATTTTGCCTGTGCATATCAAAACACAGCTGGAATGTGTCAGGGCCTCCCTGGCAATATCCTTGCTGAGGATTCTCATTTCTGTTTACTAAGCCAGGCTTGCTGGTCATGTCTTTGGGACTTAGCTGGCTGAGAGCCTCAGAAAAGAGGCAAGAGAATCCTTACAACTACCTTAAAACTCTGCTGGTTTGTAAGAAAGCTAAATTCCGTGTGCCTTGTTGTTACACAGCCAGTTGTTTTAGAATAGAATAGACTATTTCAATTGCAAGGGACCTACAAGGATCATCTAGTCCAACTGCCTGACCAATTCAGGCCTGACCAGAAGTTAAAGCATGTTATTAAGGGATTGTCTAAATCCTTTTAAACACTGACAGGCTTAGGGCATCGACCACCTCTCTAGGAAGCGTGTTCCTGTGTTTGATCACCCTCTCAGTAAAGAAATGCTTCCTCATGTCCAGTCTGAGCCTCCCCTGGCACAGCTTTGAGGCATTCTCACACAACCTGTCTCTGGATCCCAGGGAGAAGAGATCAGCAACTTCCTCTCCACTTCCCCTCCTCAGGAAGCTGTAGAGAGCAATGAGGTTGCCCAGTTGGCCCTCCTAGGGCATACCTCTGGCTGTGAAGACAAAACCAAGAAAGTTACCATTCTTTAGAGGCAGGTGAGCAACAAGCTGCTGAGGAAAAGCTCATGCCTATAGCAGAACATGTGAGAACTTTACCTAAAGCCCACCCGACTGCAATGCTTTACCAGATCCCTACAGGTGTAACTAGAACACTGCCAGATACCCAGAAAAGCATAAAGGGGGCATAAACACTAGATGGGAAACCAAGAACAGAATCTGAAAGTGGAAACCTGTGGGATTAGGAAGTGTGAAATCAGAGTAAACCTCACTGGAGCCACTATTAAAGAGAGGAAGAGAGAGAAAGAAGAATAACATGAGAAAATAAACACAGAAAGGAGAGATATTATTTTAGACAGCAAGGGGCTGGATGAGGAAACTGGGACTATCAGACTTCAAAGGGATGAGATTAAGAGCATAGGACAGGAATAGGAAGCTCAAAAAAAGGAGTTTGGTATGGAAAGCAGAGGCGAAAAAGAGACAGAAGAGAATGCAGCAGACAGTGCAGCAGCAGAGATAAGGACATTAACGCAACTAGATAAATAAAACAGGACTTAAGCCTGAATCCTTATTCACAAAACCTGTGTGAAGGATTGTTGCTGTAGCAGAATATCCCTGGTTTATCTGATGTAGTGACAAATAAAGCATCATGAACTAAGATGTGCGCAACTACCTCAGTTGATCACCTCTGTAAAAAGTAGTCTTGTTTAAGTCTAATTCAAGTTTGTAGCACCAGCACAGTGTGATGTTTACTGTTGTCCAGAAAAATTACACGCTGAATGGATTATTTTTTTTCTTGCCAGTTTTCCCACACATGATGAAAAAGCTGAATACAGGCCTGCACGTGATGATTATAATGTTCCTCTGTGTGGCCATTTTATTTTCTCTGGTCAGTTTTGGATTCTGCATCCTTAACACAATAAAAGTTCCTTACCGGGCTATTAAAGGTCCAGCAGGAGTATGCCTTTGGAACTTCCTTGCAGGTAAAATAATTTCATTTTTCATTAGTTTAGTTACATTCATACAAAATGTTAAAAGTAAAAGTTCCTTCTCTTGCCTTACTAAATATCTCCTTGACTTAAATACTTACGAATAAAATGAAGTTAGCAGTGAATTCTCATCTATCAAAACAGAACTGTCAGGTGGCAACTTGGCTTATTGTGTCTAGTCAACTTTTCACAGGAGCTGTGAATGCCAGGCTTTGGGCTCCGTATCACTGATAGAAGGACTTTATTACAATAAAGCACTGGTATGATCTCTGGCCATACAATAAAGACTAAGCATTTTGAAGGTGTTTAAGCCATGCCTAAGTCTATTGCTGTTCTGTAAGGTGCTCGCTGTTGGATTCAGTTAGCCTTTCTGAACCACAACCAAAATGTCTGTCTTGTTTTGCCAACAACAGTGAATACTTCTTTCATTTTGTTGCAGGTGGATTTATAGTACTTGCAGTCACCAGCTTTATGGCTGCTGTGAAACTTCATCACCTCACAGAAAGAATTGCCAATTTTCGGGAAAACGTCTTTCAATTTGTTATCTTAGAAGAACAGTTTGAATACTGTTTTTGGCTTTGTGTGGCAAGTGCTACAGCACATGCAGTAAATTTGCTGCTAATAGCCATTAGTGGGATTAATTTCCCTAAAATTAAGACTAAAACAGAAGAAGCAAATGTTACAGCAGAAGATATCATGTACTAATAAATCTACAGAAAACTACTTTGGTCAAGTGAACTGTCATGATAGAAACAGCTTCTTGGCTCTTCAGCTTTTGATTTGGATGGACGATTTTGGTATAAACATGAGTAAAGGTGTCATTGGTGAATATCTGCAGTATTTTTTAAGGTCAGTCTATGATACCAGCAATTAACATGTGTGGGAAAGTGGGTAAAACAAATGCTAAAAATATCATTATTCTCAAAACTGACCAGTATCTGCAGTGAATATATGCTGTTCACAGTTTTGGAAAATTCACGTTTTGATATTTTAGAAAACTAAGATGAAATACAATTTCACCTAAACCAAGTGTCTTTTTCTTTTTTAAAACTAAAATACGTGTATCACAAATCTTTGAGAATATAGGGTTATTTCAAAACAGAAAGAATGGACATTTGCCAATTACCTTCACAGAATTATTTGGAAAATGCTGAGAGGGTTATATAAGGTATGTTTGATGATGTTATACTGCATTGGAAAAGAAGATTTTATCATCTTCAGCTCTGAAGAGGACTTGGGGGTGATGGTGGACAAGAAGCTCAACATGAGCCGGCAAGGTGCACTTGCAGCCCAGAAGGCCAACCATATCCTAGGCTGCATCAAGAGAAGTGTGGCCAGCAGGTCAAGGGAGGTGATTCTCCCCCTCTACTCCACTCTCGTAAGGCCCCACCTGGAGCATTGTGTCTGGTTCTGGAGCCCCCAACACAAGAAAGACATGGACCTGTTAAAATCAGTCCAGAGGAGGCCACGAGGATGATCCGAGGGCTGGAGCACCTCTGCTGTGAGGACAGGCTGAGAGAGTTGGGGCTGTTCAGCCTGGAAAAGAGAAGGCTCTGGGGAGATCTTATAGTGGCCTTCCAATACCTGAAGGGGCTACAAGAAAGCTGGGGAGGGACTTCTTACAAGGGCAGGTAGTGATAGAACAAGGGAAATGGCTTTAAACTGGAAGAGGGGAGGTTTAGATTAGACATTAGGAAGAAATTCTTTCCTGTGAGAGAGGTCAGACACTGGAACAGGTTGCCCAAGGAAGTTGTGGATGCCCCCTCCCTGGAAGTGTTCAAGGCCAGGCTGGATGAGGCTTTGAGCAACCTGGTCTAGTGGAAGGGGTCCCTGCTGATGGCAGGGGGCTTGGAACTAGATGATCTTTAAGGTCCCTTCCAACCCAAACCATTCTATGATTCTGTGATCTGTGAGGCTGTTTTTTTATGAAACAAAATTATGAGCTGCAAGATGAAGGTTTCATTGCAGCTTCTGGAAGTAAAGTAAACAGAATCTAAGTAATAGTGCTTTTAGATAACCTGGAAAATAATAATTTGACAATCTTTGACTGAATGAAAGAAGTCATAATCTAAATTAAAGAAATTATTTTGCAGTCAGTTACTCTTCATCAGACCACTAGGTTGTGTAGCTCTATTCTTGTGAAAAGCTCTTTGAAAAAAATAACTTTTTTAGAAAGGGAATTAAAAGTATTTTAAGAACATGTCAGAATATACAAAAATTCCTTATTTTGTAACTGAAAAGACTTCATAAAAATAGTATTGTAAGGGTCAAGTATTTTCAGAAGTGTCCAAAACCATATTTTATGTACCCAAATTACTAGTTTTATCACTGAAGTGTGCAGAGCATTCAGTAAATAAGGTTACTAGAATAAGCTGATATTTAACATGTTCACTGATTAGGCCGCTTATTTAGATAATTAAATAAGGATTTGTAACTTGGCTTAAGCCTGAGTTTAGTATCTTTGGCCCAAATACTTATTTTCCATGCCCTTTTTACTTCATTTTCATCTAAAGCCCAACGAAAACAGACGTTTTATGCATTAAATTCTACTTTTATTTGGTATTCTTATAAAATCAGTTTTGCAGCTGTAGAACTCTGTTCAGAGTACTCAATTTACACAGCAGACTCAAATCACTATGTTCACCAAGTGCTTCAGGACTGTATACACAAGCTCTATGTGAGGTAAGAAATTAAATTTATTTATGTCCTTTTTAGCACATATGCAGTAAGACCAGCAGCCATTTGGCAGTCAGTGGCCTAGTTTCAGAGGAAATGGTATTAACTAAAGTCAACCTACAGATGCAATGAGCAGTGGCTGTTACTGTAGCCTGTACCATCACTGGTTTTGGCCCTACAAGTCTAGCAGGATTCTGAGTGAAGCAGAAATTTTTGAGGGTGCTTCTGCAATAGACCGTAATAATCTGTCTCCTTCAAGACAGTGTTAGACACTTTTTCAGGAGCACTAATTATTGTTTTTTTTTAAGTCCCATAAAAACTTAAGAGACGGCTGTAAAGTTTTGATGAGTCTAGAGCCCTGTTACAATTTTACCACAAAGGAGACTCAGCAAGGTAGAAAAAGTGATTCCTAATTTATGCTGCCCACTTACTTCATTGTTCTAATTTTACTGGTGCTTTTACTCAGTCTCTACACTGGGCCACAATTCCTGGAAGATGGTGCAATACCCAGTGCCTGGACAGGCAGCAAACCAACCCTCTCTATGAAGGTGCCCAAGATGGTAACAGCATGGTACCATCCAGAAAACTGGCCACAGAGGTCTCTGTGGTACCACCACCTTCACCTCCCAGAAAATTCCAAGTAGCTCTGAAACAGAAGACCTTAAACTGCAGTGTAATTACACCAATAGAAAATGTAATTTGTAATTGTTCTATCAACATGTACTTCAGAAGTCGTTGTTGTACAGAAAGAATTATATTGCAACACGTAACCTAGCCTTTACCAAATATAATTCTCTTTAGGAAGTGAAAAGGAAGCAGATTTTTAAATCCTCCATATAGAACAATTGCTTCAGAAATGCGTTTCAGCGGCGCTGGTATGCGTGTATTACACCACCTTTTTCACACTGCTACTGAACTGCTTAATGCCCCCCAAAAGTTCCCCCCAAAAATAGTTACTAAGTAAGCACCGTGGGACTACTTAGGTAAGGACAAGATTAAAGATTTGTTGGACTGGATTCCTAGCTAGGTCACAGTAGCTCTGAAAGAACCCTTAGAATACACTGTATAAATAAAGCTAACGAGGGCTAGTTGGGCTGATCAGCTTTTTATTTCTTGTTTTTGCATCTATTCAACAATGAAGCACACATTTGGGTCCAGAAGAAGATTTCTCACAGCAGATTGTGAGGTATGATTGTGGGATATTGTAGCTGCATGAGTTGAATGACCAAATAACTTTATCACCCAAAGACTATTTTGTGACTTGTGTGAAAATAGTCTTTTCAGTTCAATTTACAGTGAAGAGAAGTATTACTATGCATGAGTTAAACTGAACAAAAGAGATGTAAGGATAAACTAACCTTTCAGCTGCACAGGTTGTCTGAGTTTAAGCATCACTAAGACACACTGATAGGACAATGCATAGAATATTTGCCCTGGAAAATGCTGTCCAGGAAAAAATGGTTAAATACAATCACACATAGTTAAGATGTACAAAGCACACCTTAAGATTAACAATATCTATTAGACCTTTTCATCTTTCCCTTGTACATCATAAAATGCTTTAAAAAAATGTGGAACTTGATATAGTGTGTGATCTACTCTGTTTACACATTTTCATTTTAGTTATACTTCACATAGTGTATCTGATCATGTGCATGCTCAAGATGTGGAAATGAAGACTTCTTTGGGGGTACTTTTTACTTTGGAAGATTTGAAATCCCAAATAAGAACACTTATGAGGAATATCTGCCCAGAACTTTGAAGAGATTATGGGTCAAATCCTTTTTTTCCATAGAATTAAACTCAACTTCTTATACCCTGAAAATACCCACTTGATTTGTACAGGCGGAATATATAGAAGCTCCATGCAGGATGTACAGAAGCTATGGAGTCATTCGTCAAAGAACTACAAAACTATTCTTTGCGTCAAAGAGCCTCTCCAAAATAAATGAAGCTAAAATCTAATTACCACTCGAGTGCCGCTGTCCTTAATAAGACATGTTCTTTCTCTCTGTACCACTTAATAGAAAAAGCAGTTAGGTGGGAACTGCAATACACTGTTAGAGGAGAACAAGCCCAGCTACCCTTCATGTTCTGCCGATGTAACAGTGAAAGTTCAGTTACAGATGTATAGAAAACCAAACTAATTGTTATACACAGTGTCACAAGGTGTCAGGTTCTTACATATAAAAGCAAATTACTTATAATCTGTTTCACATTTCTGAAAATTAAAAAAAAACAAAACAAAACAAAATTCTGGATCACATGACATTAAAATCCAGTGCATGCTCAGTGCCACTGAAATTCCGGCTCATCATAACTGACGAAATAATAAATGCCAGCAAACTCCAAACAGTTCTTTTTCATGCAGTGCTTTTGCTGGAGAAGCATAAATCTGCTTCTGACATTACACTGATGACTCAGTATTCTGGTGTGAATTTTCCTGATAAAATACAACCACAGTTATTCTCTTTGGTATTTTGTTTTCACTTACTATATTTTATTTTATTTTTTAAAAAAATAAAATAATTTAACTCTGGGATTGTTACTGCTTTCTCTTAGAACTTAACTCTTTCTGGACAGACATGGTGATATTATACAAGTAAACTACCATCCTACATGGAAAATAATGTAAATTGGTTGTCTTTGCATTTGCAGTAAAGCTTTGATTACTGTTTCATAAACCATTTACATTTTAATCTGCAATATGCAAATTAAATATACTGTACACGTCCCAGGACTGGTTTTT